CCAGTATTTTCAGCATGTGGAGAGCCACGAAGGGTTTGCTGGAAGAGTAGTTTGAAAATCGGATCTCTTGTTGATCGACGGTCGGTCGTCGAACATAGAAGTTTTTTAGTAGCCTGACCAACAGAAATTAAACGGACTCGTCCGAACGCATGTGACTGCCGCATTTCAGGTGAGAAACTCTAAAGCAGAAGGAGAAGGAGTAAGAAATTCATTGTAAGCTATGATGTCTGCAGTCAAAGAACAACCTTACCATGAAATATACTCCGACTTTTTGTGCAGCCCTGTTGAAGTTAATCAGATTCCGTCATACCGCTAGTGAGTATCTGTTTGATTCCGCAGTTAAGCTAAATTATCACAAGGCAGAAGAGCAGAAGACTTATGAGAGGTCCATTGTGGTTGATGAAGGACGAATCTACAGAACAAGGCTTTTAATACCTGGACCCAGAGATGTTAGTGCAGTTAGTACACCAACCGTGCCGACATTAAAAAAACTGACTATCGATGGAAAGTCACCACCAACAACATCGTTTCCTGTTAAATTTTATTCCTTATATTCTGCTCGTCGTCAGCACTAGTAAAATATTCTTACCAGTATAACGGCGGATACTACTGATGAGGCAAGCCAGTAGTAGGTCGTCTTCTCGTAACTCCCAATCGCATCTAGTGGAAGGTGCTTCCCATGGGGTTTATTACGAAACCTGCGAGACTTCTTTGCAGCACTCATTTACAATTCCTTGATTGTCAATGAATATTCGTGAAAGTTCAGGAAGACGCATGAGGATGTTCAGTTTTCAAAAATGAGTTGTCTAAAATGAGTTGTCAAAAATGAGAGGTCTGCTTTCCATGACCAATAGTTTGTAACTATTTAGTTGGTGTTTGGTAACAAATGACTTCGGGGCGAAAGGCTTCCATTATTACACCAGAATTCGGTGCATGTGACTGGCTGCCGTATATCGATATGATTAAAAAGCACTTCTAAAAAGCACAGGTAATAAGCAAATCAGCCAACCTCTCCACTTCCCCTACCATTCATAATTGCCTCAGAGGGAAGAATTATTCGTATGATGAGCGAAACTTTCACCTGAGATGCCGTCACCTTATGAGCCAGTCAACATAAGAATGGGTCCATGTAACGCTAAATCCGCAAGTAAAGGATCGGTGGCTCTATTTTACGCCTGAGTGCAAGTTAATTACGCTGCCGATAAGCAGCTTATGGCTCAACGGTTTAGTCTTCAGTTACCAATCTGACGTTTGCAAGTTAAAATCCATTTGGAGGTTTATGATTATTCACTGCAGATCATTCCCAATATGGCTGAAACATCTGCACGGTGTTGTTGGCATTCTCTCGCAAACTAAGTGCAATTATGCCACATAATTTTCACTAAACAATTTTAGATATCCCTACACTACTAACAGTTGCTTTGGAATAAGCTACGTTTGCTGAGATTAGTTTTTTAAAACTTTGTAACAGAGTGTTGCAAAGCGGTTGTTCGGTTTTTAAAACCAACAATCGCTATAGTTTTCACTTGGATTTTTGACAAACCAAAAGCTAAAAAAGACCGTTGAAATCTTGAAGCAAATAGACTTACAGGTGATGAAAAATAGCGAAAATCTAAATATGGAGAGAGATAAACTTCATTTAAGTGTATGGCGTAACAGAAAAAAACAGCTACCAACTCGCTTACGTGAGAATGAAGGAGGTAGCGAACAAAGCTCGTTCTCTGCGATTGTTCATCTTGGTTAGTACATTAACAATTT